CCTTTTTGGTCTGAGCAAGTTATATCTACTTGATGGCTACTTGTTCCGCTTCTTAGAAAAAATTGTTAAAACTTCTTGAATGGCTTAAGAGAAATTTTGTTCGGAAATCAGAATCTTACTCAACATTTAAAAAATAAAATAGATAAAATAAGCTAATTTTATTGGTTTCCTGAACACCATGTAAAATAATATAAATCAATCCTTCCTAGTCTTAAGTAATGTGGACAGACTAACATTTTGTTTAGGGTATGGATGAAAAAGAAGTTTCGATTCATTCATTTAGTGGTTTCCAATTCTGTAACTTATATAGAATAACGTGTTTTTAACAACTTAGGTTCCATTTAAATTTGGCTCTTATCAAGTTCTAACACAAAAAATTATAGAAAAAATATATTGAACATTGAATCTGTAAGTTTCTCAATAATAAATAAAACATTAATGGTTGAAATGGTTGAGTTGAAAAATACAAATAAGATAAAAGTCATTAAACAATATTTAGAAAATAATAAGAATATTTTTTAAATTTAAATTTAGTTTGATTTGAAGAAGTAACAAACTAAAGTGAGAACTAATTTACTAACAACTGTCGGAAATAAGTATGATTTATATTATTGTCTACAAATTAAAAGAAAAATATATTAAAAAATTGTTTTCAAATTACCTGATACATCCATTTCGCAAGGTATTGAAACCCCTACTGAGTTGTTAGCAAAACAGAGATATGTCCTGAAGTTTTCAACTCTTGTCTCTAAGGTCAGAATACTCTGGAGATGACCTTTCTCTATGTGCTCTTCGATTGTCTCATTTTCATTTTTTATTTTCCAAGTAAAGTCGACATCCTGAGGGTTAGCAATGACCGTGCATTCCAAAGAAAGCTTTCCATCGACTTCTTTCTTGATGATTCCACACTCCGGTTTAACTGGAATTGTTATTGTTTTTAAATAAAAACTAAGTCCCTTGAATAATTTTATGACTACATACAATATTGGTGTTCAAAAAAATTAAAAACATATTAAAGTAATTGATTTAAGTAAATAAAGAGCAGTATATTTCATACCTCTCCAGTGAGGTTGTTTGCAATTGGCAGGAGAGGAATGAATAGAATGATATATAGTGAGCTAAGAATAGCACATCTCAAAAAAAAGGGTCATGTCTTACCGAAAGCGTCACTTCCAGCTATATTTACATACCAGTTGACTAAATTTTGCCATTTATAAGAAACATTTCAATAACAAACAATATGTTACTCTTTATTTTTTTTATAATTTTAAACATTTTCCTACCACTTCCAGAAAAAATAATTAATTAATGACCAGAATATAGTACGCATATTGTTCTTGACCATTCAAGAAAAAAAAAAAGAGTACAATTTATTTATCAATATCAATAAATAAAAAAAATAACCACGTTACACATATTTTGAATAGCAGAAGTTTTAAAGAAGTTTCATTGTACAAAAAGATATCTAATAGCATTTTCAAGACAAGGTATTTTGTTGTACACTTTGAATTGAAAATCTACTGTAGTCATGTTCTCATCTTCTGTGGTATGTTAAATAATTGTTGAAACATGATATGTACAAAATTATCAATTTCATACACAATATTTTTTTTATTAAAAAATGAAATGCTCTTCTGACTTACGATTAGTGCTTTATTAGCATGACTCATTTTTTGCTTTCTATTTATTCTATTTATTTGAACCTATATCTTGCTGTTTACATAAATATCAATTCTAATTATGCACGTTATTTTTTATTGATTTTTATGATTGATTTTTCATTATGGACTAGAAATCTATTTTGATTTCTGTTTATTCACATATCAGCCATAACTAGAGGTCATTGCACTTATAGTACTGGAAAAATTAAATAAAAACTAAGTACTTTGAACAATTGGTACAATAAAGGCTATAATACATGCCACAAATTCCATTAGGGAAAATTAATAAAAAAGGGGATAACTGTTTCTAAGCAAGCTGGAAAGGTTTAAAAAAAAATTAAAAGGAAGACATTCAGCATGTCTTACATCATTAAATTGGGATTGACAGTGGATTATTAGCTCAGTCATATAACATTAGGGCCTTATATTTTAATTTTATTATTATTTTTAATTATTTTTTTACTTGTTTATTGAGAAATATTACATTCTGTCTCAATTAAGGTCATTTATAATAGAGATCAGAGAGCATATTCACATCATATTTACAGAAAAAAAAATTAATTAAGTTATAGCAATATATTACATATAAAAAAGAACAAAATAAAATATCATAAAGAGAACAAATAAAAAATAATTAATTAATTAATAATAAAATTTTAAAAAATAATAAATTTGATATTAAAGTAAAAACGCACTTAATTTTTTGTTTATACCAAAGTACAAACTTTTTAACTTGTCTATCAAACTTACTTTTTGCTTTAATGTTTACAGTCCAGAAAAGGGATATCAAGGACCCATAGCAATTACATACCCAATAAAAATATTTTTGTGTTTTTTAAAAAGAATATATAAAATGTTAAAACATCATAATAAAAAGAAAATCCAATCCTATCATATATTTTAGTGATTGGTTAAATTTATAATATTAATATTATTTAAAAATTAATTAATATTAATAGTAAATTTATAATATGATATTATGATTATATTTGGTTAATTATTAATATTACTCCACCACACATCGAAACACTAACCACCAGCATGAAAATCAGTGTATGCTATCACCTGCACAAATCTGTATCGAATCAACCCATTTAAAATACAATAATCCATATTTTTATTATAAAATAAATAAATAAAATTGTGTTATAAAAATAACTTTCTTTTTAATCGCAGGCAGATACATCTAATGTTAAAAAACAAAACAAAAACTCTTGTAAAACTGTTAATGTAGGAAGTAAGCCATACATATTATGCATTTTATAAGTATTATTTGTTAAAAGGTCATAATTATTTTTACTAGTGTTCTCCCAGTGATAGAAATTTATTTTATAGTGATTAGAAATCCAACTATAATTATTATTGAAAATTTAAGGAAAACCTATATGAATTTGTATGTTTCCAAAATTTTATTTTCTACTCTTATAAATTCATATATATATATTTTATTTATTTTTTTTAACATTTACATTTTTATGTTATGTTTAAAAAATATTTTTGTTGATAACATTAAAGATCATCAATACCTACTAAATAAAATTTAAAAAATGGTTGAAAAACAGAGGAGAAAAAGGTACTGAAATAACTTGTCTTTGCCTGTCTATGTAATGATTATCATAACAGTTTTTAAATTCCAGATGTCGGCCATTAACAATTTAAGGATGGTGGACTCATATATGAGTCAAGGTGGAATTGAATCCAGGTGGCAGTGGACTCATATATGAGTTGAGACAGAATCGGGAACTGGCGAGGGTGGACTCATATATGACTTGAAAGCCTAGTGCTATTTCTCTTTAAATGACAGGGTGCTCAGTGATGAATTCTATTTTCAAACAATCTAGTGGCCTTTCTGACAATTGTATAAAAGTTAGATAAAAAAATAAAATAAAAAAGTTTGGAATGGTGCCCTAAATAAGAAGACTAATGTGGTGAGGAGAGGTGATGAAAAGTATTTCATCACAGGGGCACAGAGAACTGTTAGCTAATGATTAAAGAAGAAACCACCTAATAATTTTTGGAAGGAACAATTCAAGAAAAAGTAATAAATCAAGATAAGTATTGAAAAAATAGGAATACAGATCAAGTCCTTCGCCATCATAAAATAAATGTTTTAAAACAATATAATCAATAAAAAAATGTTTAAAACAAAGAAAATATAATTCAGTTTGTAAGTTACTCACAAAGAACATTAATGAAAGTTTTCTGTGAATTGTTTCCATGCCTGTTATAAGCTTCACAATAGTAATTTCCTCCATTTTTTCTAAGAATTGGAAAGTTGAGAATAAGAGCATTTCCTTTGATGATAACTTCATTCTCGCCTTCCCTACGCCATTGGTAAGATGATTCTGGGTATGCTTTGGCACTACAGAGTACTTTTTCAGGAACATTACCCTCAATCACATTTACGATACTGTTAGAGACTGTCAAATTTTCTGGTGGGTCTAAAACAGTTATAGGAGTCTTGAAACCTATTTATCTAGCACAACATACATATTTTATTATCATACATTAACATCATACAGAACAAAAAGCTATACTAAGTAAGTACTACTGATGCAGTTAAGAGTGACGGTTTATGTAAAGTTAATAAATTAAGAGTGCATAATAAATACCATTGAAATAGTTAACCAATTGCACTACATTTGGTTAAGTACCTAAATACCTAATATAAAAACATCAAATCAACAAAAAAATAATAAAAGTAAATAAATCATTCGCCAAATACTGCATAATTATGTTAAATGTACACAAATGCAAAAACTTTCTAAAACTGCAAAACAACACTAAAATTATTTGAGCTTCGATAAAATATTTTAAAAAATAAATAAATTTTATAACTTCTTCAAATCATCCCATAATAAAATATGAAAAAACAAACAAAAAACAACATGGGAATAGAGGATTGTTAATAAGAAAATTATTTATTTACATATTTGTTAGCTGATGACAACTAAATTAACTAATACCTTGACTCCTTAGGATATGTCATTTATGTGTTTCTCTATTATATTTATTAAATAAACCCTATGGGAAATCTGATTATACATACAAATTCATAAAATATAAGTCTTTCATCAGCATCTATTTTATTTTGATAGCTTATCCAGTAAGTAGTCCTCAGCAACTAATAAATGTGAAATATAATAAAATAATATACTTACATTCAACACCGAAAAAGGTGGTACTCTTCACACCTGATCCTACTTCATTTCCAGTACTGATGCATGTATAGTTAGCATTGTCTGCGATCCTGTCCAACTGTCCTCCAGGCCATGATGTCATATTCCATATAAGTGTTGACTGGACAGACTCAAAATCATTTGTTCTTGTGTCTGGAGGTATAACAATATTCTCAACGTAATACCTTGAATAAGGACCAGTTTCTAGCCTGCGTCCATTCTTTTCCCATTCAATGGAGCAAATGGGAGAGCACTCGACCCTGCATGTTACATTGATTTGTTGGGAAGTCATAACCTTTCCAAAATATGGTGGCAGGCGAACAATAAATGTAGGTGGTGCTGTAAAAAAAAAGATGAAACAATAGTGCAATGTTATAGAGTATTTAGTTTCTGAGAAATAAGTATTTTTAAGTCATTCCAGTAATTTTCAATTTTTTTTCTTTTTTAATTATTAATGTTTAAAGTACAGAATACGTTTCTAAATAAAAGTACTGACCATAGACCTTGATAAAAAGATTAGCAGGTTTCGATTCTCCACCAAGATTGACAGCGGTACAGGTAAAGTTTGTTTCAGCTTCTAGTGTAACTGGATCGATCGTCCAGTTTGCTGAGTTCACATCCATAACAGGATGATTGCCCCTAGTCCATCTATAGGTCGTATTTTCTGGTCTTCCGCGATCTTTGACACTGCAATAAAGTGTCATTGATCCTCTCTTCACCACACGGTCTGGAGTGTGATTAAGTTCGGCACCACTAGGAGGATCTGTGAACAGTGTATATTCATTATTAAATCGAGACTAGGGCAGTAGAAAATAATTTTTAGGTTCTATACACTTCTCAATATAGATACATTAGATCATAAGTATAGAGGAATTTAACAATTGGTAAGATGAATACTTACAATAGACAATAAGTTCAGAATCAGGTGAGCGTGGACCCCACCCAGCTTCATTTTTGCCCATACAAGAATAGTTGCCATGAAAGTTGCGAGTGATGCCCTCAAGAAACAACTGTATAGGGTTTATATCACAGAAGGTAGTGTTGGAACAATCCGGCAATTCTTTCAGAATCACGCCATCTAGAAACCAGCGGACATGGGTCAGTACTGGAGGATTTCCAGCCTCAACCTGGCAGAATAGGGTCACGTCCAAGTCCTCTGAAGCTATGACAGGCGATGCTGGATTCATTCTGACACTTGTTTCAGGCTTAACTGGAATAAAAAAACACATTCTTAGAATATTTGATAAGTAGTATATTTGATAAGTAAATTGTGTATAGGTCTTATAAACTGCTATAAGACCTATAAAGTGGAGCACCTGCTATAAGACCTAGCACAGGTGGAGAACCTGTGGCCTACAAATGATTTAGCGCAGTTTTCATTAATCTAGTGCTAGAATTACTTAATATTTAATTATTAAGGTTACAAAAATTTGGAAATTAATTGAATATATGTATAGGATATTTACTTATAAATAAAAATAGCAACAGTGAAATATAAAAAAAAAAAATATTATGGCCTCCATTATCACATCCTAACTTTACTGCGGTCTCTAATAATAAAAAAGTTCCATACCTATTGCCTATGGTATAAATAACCTTTGCAAATTCATAGTTATGTTCATAGTTCAGCTTTATTGTAAAAAATGTTTTATTGAGGTTTATTGTAATCTTGGCCTCACATGTATTCAGAAATACCAACCAAAAAAGTCACTTGAAACGTTACAGCTTTGCCTTTAGCTTGCAATAAGAATTAAACAGAAATCAAAAGTTCATAAATAAATAAATTTTAAAAAATATGCAGTTGTTTTTCATATCTTCAATATTTTTAGTTTTATACTTATAGGCTTTTTTGATGTGGCTTTTGAGTTGCTTGTTAAGCGTAATTCATATTAATTATAATTACAAAAAAGTTGATATTGCTAACATATCACAGCCTTTCATTTTTATTTAATGAGCCAGTTGGTTCAGGTAATAAAGCAGTTGATCCTAACCTCAGCCTAAGCTTGAGATTCAAAAATTAATTTTATTGTCATATTGTCAGTATTGGGTTGATCTTGAAGTCAGGAGATACTTCTATAAAATGAAGATCTACCTCTTTAGCGAAGAGCAAAATCTGGGCAGTTGAGTGTGATGCTGACCACATCGGTGTGAACTGGAGGTGTTCCCAGTATTACTGTTAGCAATGTAGTACTATATTTTTTTACTTATCATTTAAACTTACAAAGTGAAATAAAATTTAACCTTAATATAGAATACTTTGTATGCTAAAGCACTTGAACATTGTGGAGCAATAGACAAGAAGGGAAAGAGAAAACTAATAAAAAGAACAACTTACAGTAGATAGAGACATAAACAAAGTTCTGAGATGCCATAGCCCCGACTTCATTTTCCAAGATGCAGGTGTAGTTGCCCATATCTTTCCTGGTGGCATTCTTTATAAACAGTGATGTTTGTTCCACATTTCCTCCTTCATAGTGGTCTTTATTAGCATTAATGTCCACTTCTTCCTCATCCCTTAACCTGTCAATAAATATGTGTATAATAAATATTTATTTAGGAATCGGTCTAATATTTAAAATATAAAAATTTGAGATATATACTATCATCAATAACTAGTGATAAAAATAAGTTAATAAATATAACTATTTAATAGTCCTTTAATGAATATAATTATTATAAAAGATAACAGTAGAATTTATAAAATAAATATGAGGCTTATCATCCCTTTGACAGCAACAATGAAAAGTAGTAGTCATCTAAAGCCAATAAGTGGAAATGGGGACCAAATTAGTTTTGATAACCCCTAACACAAGCACTAATAATATAGTAAATAAAAAAAAAATTATTTCAACTTAAATAGGTATCATTGTGTTAATTGTTTCTAATGATCAGTTGTGTAATTAGCTAGCTGAATTTAAATATAATATCAGACAATCCAAAAAAAAAAATCAAGTAAATAAAATATATAATATATTCTTATTAAATATTATATGATATATAACTCGATACTTATTAAATAATCCACAAAGATCAAACTCCACAAAATTATCGTTATTAATACATAAAGGCTTTCGGACTGAAGCCTCTTCCCTCCAAAAAAAAAATAAATAAACCAAAAATAAAAAATGACTTTAGCAAAGTTTCATTGAAATCGGTACATTCGTTTAGGCGCTACAGTTAATAGCAACGCAGGTTTTTTTGCATTTTTATTTTTTTCTGCTTTATTAACTCATCAAATTCTTTCAAAATTTATATTTAGCATTTTTTCGTAATCCTGAATAAAGTGAAATGATTAACTTTTTAAAATAAACCATATTAAAGGTACTGTAAAGGAGGGCATATATTAACATTGGGCATTTAAGCCCAGTAATGTGACATCAACGGGGATAAGAATTGAATGATATTAAAGACCACTTAATTATACAATGATACACCGAGTTTAATCAAAATCGTTAGAGCTGTTTTTGAGAAAATTCTAAAAATGTGTTTCTGCATTGATATAAAGAGGCACTTCCGGTAAGCCGATTTAAGGAAAAGGTTGCAGCGACATCTAAGGCATATACCTATCTTTAATACGTAATATCAGTTTCTTAGGACTTTTCGTTTACGAGCTAGAGTGTTCACATACACATAGACACACAGACACTAGCGGATCTAGGATTTAATTTTGGGGGAGGCTTCAGCCCGGAAGCTTTTTTTCCCCATATATATAACGATAATTACGTTGTAAAAACAGAAAGAAACTAACTACATATATGAAATGGTGTTTAAGCGATTCTTGAAGCCCTACTAAATGTAATTAAACGAGCAATAATACTTTAAGACCTAATTTTTTTATATTTTTTACCATAAAACATGGTTACATTTTACCATTTTTTGGGGGGGGGGGCTTCAGCCCGAAAGCCCCCCGTAAATCCGCCTGTGCACACAGACCATTTTTCGGGACTTGGTCATTTGGACTCAGGGTATCCCAAAACGTGTATTTCCGTTGAAAACTCAGATTCAAAAATTTTCACGATTGCAATACTTGTAGTGAAAGTAAAAATTCTGGATCCGCCTATGCTTAAAGAGATCATGACAATCAACAAACAATGGTAAAGAAACCATTTCGTAAAAATATTTGAAATTTTCTATTTTTATTAGACAAGTTAATTTCCTTTTGATCCATTCCATCTATATACATCTTAGTGCAAGATCTATAACATCTATGATACGGGATACATCAACTGAGTGACAGATGCCAGAAACGTGGGAAAGTAAATTCGCAGGAGCAGACTACGAGACACCTAAGTATTCTGTCCTCTGCCTCATGAATATCACATTCCCACTACCAACCCTCCGACCCAAATTTCCCTGCAGCTAACCTAAAGGCACCTAACCACCTTTCCGAGGGATTATTACATAATATACTTCACTCTCGTTAGTTTCCGCTTTTCGCCAAGGTCTGTGGTGTTTCTCGATTTTTTTGTTTATACATATTTGTATATGCCGTATACTAATATACTGTAATTTGATTAAATAAAATTTAATAGGCTCAAAAAACTTTATATAAGTTACAAAATAATTTAATTGATAGAAAAAACAGATTAGTTTGAAAATCCTTGTTATTAAAACGAACTTGAATAACTCACTTTCTGTAGAGATAAGAGTTTTTAACCTACCAACACGCTAATTTAAGTAACAATAAAAGTTTAACTTATTATAATATTGTAATAATAATATTTATTGATTTATCATAAATGATATAAATTGGAATGCATATTTAACAGAAAGAAATTATTTTTTTAAAATCATTTGATTAGAATAACAAAGATACGGAATATTCCAAAACAAAATCTTCAGTAACTGAAACAATAATAAAAACCTAACAAGTCGAAGAATTGCAAATTCGAGCATCATTAGGATTGACAATCACGATACCAAATAAATGTACACAAGGCCTATTTGTTTGAAGCACAAATGCCTTGTTTTATAGTTCTTTCTCTTACGTTTTTCAGACTCTATTTGGGAAAGTACGTTATAGATATAAATTAAAATGTATTAAAATCAAGGAGAATACTTTAGCCAAGTTTCATTAAAATTGCTACAATCGTTTTGGCGCTACAGTCTAACGACAAACTTTTTTGCTGTCTATTTAAACACGAAAGTACGGATTGTATTTAAATGTACATAAAAAAACACTTTTGAATTCGTTGCGATCCTTGTATAATAATATCAAAGCAGTGAACAACTTTCGAAGATTAGTAGTTTTGGATAAACGAAAGCTTACATTTTTATTTACAAACACTGTTTCCCAACCTATTTTATCGATAACACAAAAGCTCATCAATAGCTACAAAATACCAGCAAATACATGGGCTACTTTGCGAAATGAAAAAATATTGAGCAAAATCATATGTTTTCTCTTGGAAGAAGGAATCTTTAAAATTCTCGGAATTTCTTACGCAGGACTCCCCGCTTCTTTTTTTCCTTTTATTTTTTTATATATTTATTACTTAACGCGCTAACTTTAAACCTAACTTCAAATAACTAAACTTTAATAGCCGTAAACAACTTTAACCTTAAAATGCATTTTACGTCTTTTTAATTTAATTTTATTCCTATTATTCACAACCAGAAGATATCATAAAATATAATTTTAATTAACGGCTTTGATGACCAACAGATTTTGTGCCTTTACTATACAACAACAACAGCAATTAAATAATAAAAAGCAAAAAAAAAAAAGAAAATAGGTTGATAAAAAAGGTACTGAACTATTTTGTCTTTATCTACAAATATGATTGGTAACTACCCATAATACGTAACGTTTTTGTACTCTCTCCGTTTTACTTTCGGGAAAAGTGAGAAGATTACAAGCATAAAATATTTATAATGTATTTTTGTTAACACTTAATTCGAAACAAAACGTTACAGACGTCATTAATAAAAACGGGGCATAAAATGTCGGATTTTACAGGAAGGGTAATTTACTGAAACAACTCGATGGAATCAAAACATTTTTATTTAAAATATTTACCCTAATTTTCTATACATTTTCTCTAGCGTGCTATCAACTTTTCAATCCCAGAACTGAATAAAAATCAGGGTTTTGTGAAGGAATGAAGTCAGAAAATTTTTCAACACTCTTGAATTCGTTGCAATCCTTGTCTAATAATTTCAAAGCAGTGAAGAACTTTCGAATATGAGTGATTTTGTATACAAGAACAGTTACATTTTTATTTACAAACACCGTTTCCAAATATATTTTATCAATACCACAAAAACTCGACAATAGATACTAAGCAAAAAAAAAAAAAAAAAAAAAAAAAATAGGTTGACAAAAAGGTACTGAACTATTTTGTCTTTATCTACTAATATAATGATTAGTAACGATCCGTAATAAGTGAAGGTTTAATACTATCTCCATTGTACTTTCGAGAAAAGTGAGAAGATTGCAAGCAGAAGAGAGTATTTCTAATGTATTCTTGTTAACCCTTAATTCGATACAAAACGTTACAGACGTCATTAATAAAAACGGGGCAATAATATCGAAAGTGCGTTAAGACTTCCCCGACAACGTTATTAGCCTCGAGACCCGATCATAAATCATGGAGAAGTATCCAAACAAATGGTGCCTATTTTGCGGGCGTTGATATGACTAGGGAACTCATTAGTTGATGGATCATATATCAAGGTTTAGCAGAGACTGAGATGCTAGCAGAATATTAACGGCTCCGTTGTCAGTTTTTGTAAAGAGATTGTTATTAATTTTCCTTGCCGAAACCCGTTCATCAGAGCTTTAAGCTCCCGCCATATCCGTGTTTCTTAACTGAAGTAAGCCGTTATATTTTCCGTCACCTCCCATTTATAACGAGGCAGGCCGGGAGGTGCGCGCGGGTAGGAGGGTCCTAAATCAAACGTGATGGCTTTATTACGCCGGATTAGCGGACCTCCCTGACCGGAAATGTGTTAGTCCCTCCCAACATGGCCGTTACATTACTCCACCTGTTTCATTAACCAAACAATATGGCGAGTTGTCTTGTGCATCCTATTCGCTCAATAATGAACGGTACATTTACAACAAAAAAAAAAAAAAAACTACCACCCGCTTTCAAACCGTTTATCCTGAATTTCTCTTTTAATAATTGGACAATATCATAGTCCAGGTATCATTGTATATCTATATATAAAATGATACTTGGATGCAATGACATATTAAATGTTGTCACCTTGTTGTTTGATCGTTTTGATATTTAGGAGTAAAACATCTGGGCCATAAACAAAATGATACTAATTTTAAAATAATTGGCTGGCAGGTTTATAAAAAAAGTATAAAAAATAAAGAAATAAAAAAATAATTAAGGTTCGACAGAGGATAATTAATTGTGAACGTGTTAAAAATATTTTATAATATATTTTTTGTATAGGAATTTGAAAAGATGAGTCACTTTTTCTCCTGATTTCCAGAAACGCTGATATATTTGGCCAGTTTTGACAAGAAAGGTTATTTACTAAAACAACTTTATGAAATAGAAAAAAAAAAAT